TCGAGGACGTATTGATGGCGTAAACTTAAAGTAAATGTTTGTAACAGGCTCTTTGTGCTAATTGTGCTGCTATCTGATTGGATGAGACAGACAGATATTCATGAAATTATAAAAACAAAGTCGGTTTTAATCAAAAATACTACATTTTCATGTCATTTTTGCTCTGTTTGAGTCCGTGTGAACCAGAAAACGATTAATCGATTACTAAAATAGTTGTCGACTATTTCAATAATCGATTAGTCGTCGATTAATCGATTAGTTGTTTCAGCCCTACATAAAAGAGTTCATGTGTAAGAATATGCACAATTGAACACCACAATTAATAATTACACAAAATGTATATTTAAACTATAAGGTACAGTAAAAATAAAAGCAGCAAGGGGTGTGGTTAAAGACAAGTTTTTTTTATCTGGGATGAAATGCAGCTTAACAGCTTGCACACACAGTTACGCTCCGGTCAGACAGGTAAGTCTGCTTTTATATGTATTGTGCATATAGAATTTAGTTAATAACCGATGATCTATGTTCATGTTCTTTATAACATTAACATAACTTTCCATACGTCCACCTGTAGTCTCTTACAGCAAATTCTGAAATTACACTGAATGTTGTGTGTGCCAACACTTTCATAGGAATATGTATATCTCAACTATGAGAGCCAAAATGAGAAAAAAAAAATCCAGAAAATCACATTGAGGAATTTATTTGCAAATTATGGAGAATAAGTATTTAGTAAACAAACAAAAAAAATCAATTAGAAAAAAATACATAAACACCAAAATCGCACGGGTCCTTTAAACATCAACACAGTTAAATCACACAAGGGATTTAATAAATCATATATAACCAGAGTGTTATAGAGTAGACGGGTGTCTCACATAATCAAGAAGACTGTTCCAGATTTTAGTTGCATAAATCTGAAACACTGCCTCCCCATGTTTAGTTGTGACCCTGGGCACCAGGCTAGTTCCTGTGTTCCTCAGTTGGTTCATAAGGCCCCAACATGAGCCACCGGAAGCCAGTGTAGGGACCGGAGGACTGGACTGAACTTGATAGTACTTCCTGGTTCTAGTCAGGACTCGAGCTGAATACTGTAGCCGTTTTACAGCTTGTTTGGAGAGACCAGTGAGCAGGCAGTTACAGTAGTCTCACCGACTGGAGACAAATACATGGATAAGAATCTCCAAGTCTGCTTTAGACACTATATTTTTCATCCGGGCAATGTCGTTCATTTGACAAAAAGCTACTGAATTGACGCAGCTGTTGAAATTCATGCCCGAGTCCCTTGATTTCTGACCTTAGTTAAAATGTTTTAGGGAGAGAGACTGAAGTTGACAGATTTTGCAGTAATAACCAGAATTACGGACGAACACCAGAAGTGTCTTTTCTTATTTTATTATAAATTTCATCTTTTGGCAGTGAGCAAGAGACATGTTCAAACAATCATTCATAAAAGGAAAGAGGGCACCACCCACAACGGCCATTGGAGGGGCCAACTGGGAGGAGCGCGTCTTGATGTGGTGCGTCTGAATAGCCGCAACAACAGATGACGCTCTCTTTATTCTGGGGGCGAAAGACAATCATTTTAATTTTTCCTGCGTTTAGCTGGATACAACTATTTTCATCCATTCAATGATCTGCTGGATGCAGTGAAGGAGTCCACTGGTCCATGTTCTCCGGCAGTCAGTGAGACATAGATCGTCTCGTATGCGTAGTTGTAGCACACGTTACTGCGTAGTAACTGACCTAACGGCAGCATGTAGAGATTGAACTAAAGAGGCCCCAGGATTGATCCCAATGGCACTCCACTGGTCAGGGCCATATTATCTGAGAGTTTTCAATCATCCTGTCTTCTAGTTAGGGCTTGAACTAACTTAGTTCACCAGCATCAAAGGAAGTAATCAGATCTAACAGGATTAATACTGACACTTTACTTGTATATTTGGTTATCGTCTTCCAGAAAATGTGAGACAATGTTTAAATCCAGTTTAAAAACGGTTCTGTTTAGCTGTGCATACAACTGAAGGATTGTATCTTCATCCTTTTAATTTACTGTGATTATTTAATGCCTTGTGTGATTGTTTTCCATCTTACTTTGTTCAGCACTTTGAGTTGCCTTGTGTATGAACAGGGCTTTACAAATAAACTTGCCAAGCCAAACAAACAGTTGAGTTATTACCAAAATCTGACCCCAGGACCTTCCCCCAATCCTTTTCTGGATCATTGAAATGCTTTCCATCTCTAGATGGACCTGGACAAAATTGTTTCAAATACATTCTCTAAAAACATAAATGTTACGGTATTTTCTCATTATGTCTCTCAATAGTTGAGGTAGTACAATAACGATGATTGCAGGCATCTCTCATCTTTTTAAGTGGGAGGATTTACAGAATTTGTGGTTAACTAAATACTTTGCCACAATTGATTTTTTGTTATTCACTACAGAGAAATGAAGACATCTGAAGGAGTCCTGATCCTGTGTGTGCTGGCAACAGTCACACTGAGCGCTGAGTCAGTCAATCAACAGCTCAATTCAATCTACGATCTGAAGGAAGTAGATTTTGGAGGCTCAGTGCCCAAGCACAGCCTCCTGCTGCTGTACTGGTTTGCCAACAATATTAACATTATTGACAACGTAATTATACTGAACTTTAAGATTTCGGTTCACATCACTATGGCAACTATGAAGGCTTGTTGGAAACAGGACACCACTACTATACTATCGGAAACCTTAATGAAGAGTTTCCTGAATATGTCCGTTACCCCCCAGATGGACAATACGAAGGGGGAAATCTGGATCGGATTATAGTCAGAGTTCAGAGGCAACATCAAGGAGTCTGCAGGATCGACAGAGTGTACCTCACCCAGCATTTACAAGGAACAACTCTATACGATCCGGACCACACCTACCAAATATCCACCAACCTGCTTCAACAAATCAGACTGTTTTCAACAGGGACCTTAGTGTCACTCTGGACACTCGGGCAGCAGTTTCACAGTAACATCAATGACAACCAGTTGGCTGGATTCAGACAAACATGGGGAAACCAGTTGGTTTGTCTTGGACGTTTTCTGTTCATTATAATACAAGAGAGATTCTCCAGGCCAAAGCCCAATCCTGGTTACAGAACCCAAGCTGGTTACTGGCCTCAACTTCAAGAGGTTTACAGGCCTCAAGGTCAAGCTGGTCACTGGCGTCAACCTCAAACTCGTTACAGGCCTCAAGGTCAAGCGGGTTACTGGCATAAAGGTCAAACAAGACCTGAACAAGTTTATTATCCAAATTATTCTTTTCATACAGGCAACAATGACATCGGTGATAATCCTTCTAGAGAATGTGTTTTACTTGTAGTATTTGTAATAATAGTACTTATTAGTCTATTCTGGTTAAATGGTCGATGAAAAGTAATAGTCCTAATTCTGTCATTGCTGGCAAAAAAAAAGTATGCAAAATTGCATGTATATTAAATTTGCGATACAAATAAACCTATTATAATAATCACTTTCAGAGATTTTTTCCCCCCTTTGGGCAGCAGAAACCCTGGTTGCACAACAAAATACCTTACAAATGAAATGTACCTACTTTCTACTCTCAAATTCAAAATTTCTGATTATGAGTGGTAATGGCTGCCCCCAACCTGATTAGCGGAGACAGCATCCTCAACATTATGTAGGACGCTGTCACTTTCTGCATCCTAATCTTACGATGCACAAATGTCAAAAATAATAACCCGTGTCTGTATTCTGTGGTCTGATACAAAGTTGAGCAGTTTGGCCATAATGACCACTGTGTAGAGGGAAAAAGGTGGAATGCGCGTTGGACAACATCATGCACTTGTTTAACGCGTGATAACTAAATCGAAAAGTTTGAATCCTTTTCAACTTTTCATGACAACTGGAGGCGTGTTAGCACCACCTCCTGGTAGAGAAAACTGTCAAATACACCCCAAGAGACACATTGAATGAGATTTGTAAATGTAAAAATTTGGCCTAATGTGCTCATCTTTTTGCACAATCTGTCCTTTTACCGAAAATTCACTATTAGTTACATTACTGGTCGAAACAGTGTATACACAAAAAAAAGTATTATATATACTTATTTTTTTGACAAAGACTTATTCAAAATATACTATTTTGAAAGACTATTATCATTCAAAATATACTATTTTGAAAGACTATTATCATTCAAAATATACTATTTTGAAAGACTATTATCATTCAAAATATAGCCACAATAAAAGCAGGGTGGTGGAGGTGTGGTTGATAAGTTTCATTACTGGGATAATGCAACTGAACTAACAGTTGCCAGTTTGCTGCACACACAGTCCAGTCCAGTAAGACTAGATCCACGAATCAGACAGGTGAGTCTTGCTTTCATATCTATTATGCTGATTTTTGTAGGAAAATATTTCTGGTTTTGATTATTAGACTTCATTGTGAATTTTAATTAAGATTTCTTGTGCAGTAATTTTTACAGCTTCAGAAGCAGAGATGCCACGATGTTTGGTCTTGATAGCTCAAATGCAGAAATTCATCTTTAAGTTTAGATGAACAGATTAGTGAAGAAATATGTTATACACAATATTATTATTAGATCCATGTTCACACGAGTTACATGCACGCTTTTTCGACACGTGCGCGCGCGCAATAATGCTAAAAGCAATACGCAGAATCTCTGCCGAAAAGTGTGAGGACAGAGACTTGGGAAAGGTGAGGAGCGAGAGGGAAGGGGGGTAAAGGCTGATATTAATTGTGAAAGGCACATGGCTGAAGAGAGGCCGCCGTTTCATTTCTTTCTCACCACATAAGTCTTTCTTAATATCTATATTTTGAAACAGTGGGAAGAGGAATATATGAAATATAAATAGAGTTAAGTGAAAGAATCTGAACTTGTGCGTTTTGACCACTGCCAACATCTACTAAAAGAACAAACATCTATTTGGATTTCAACACAGACCTAACAAACTTATTTGACTGATTTTGTTTTTCAGTACAGAGACATGAAGACATGTGAAGGAGTCCTGATCCTGTGTGTGCTGGCAACAGTCACACTGAGCACTGAATCAGCTCATCAACGACTAGATTCAATCTACGATCTGAAAAGAGTAGATTTTGGAGGCTCAGTGCCCACGCACAGCCTCCTGCTGCTGTACTGGTTTGCCAACAATATTGACATCAATGACAACGTTATTACACTGAACTTTAATCCAAATGGAGATTTCGGTTCACATCACTATGGCAACTATGAAGGCTTGTTGGAACAAGGATACCACTACTACACTATTGGGAACCTGAATTTTCAGTTTCCTGAATACGTCCGTAACCCCCCAGACAGACAATATCAAGGGGGAAATCTGGATCGGATTATAGTCGGAGTTCAGAGGTCACATCAAGGAGTCTGCAGGATCGACAGAGTGTACCTCACACGGCATAGAACAACTGATTATGATCCAGACCACACCTACCAAATATCCACAAACCTGCTCCAACAAATCAGACTGCAGCAGTTTTACACTAACATCAATGACAACCAGTTGGCTGCATTCAGAGGAAGATGGGGGAACAACTTGGATTGTCTCGGACTTTTTCTGTTCATTGTACTAGGAGAAAGATTCTTCAGGCCAGGTACCACTGCTAGGCTTCAAGGTCAAATGGGATACTATGAACAAGCTTATCATTCAAACTATTCTCATCACAGGGGCAACAATGACATCTGTGATAACCTTACTTATGTATGCATGTTCCTTATAGTTCTTGTTATACTCGCACTAGTTATTATTAGTAGCCCCAAGTAATGATCTTAATGAGGCTATTACTGACGATTCTCAATAAATGAGGATTAAGTTCTTTTTTGATATTTGAATGGGTGTGATTTAAATAATTTGTTTTGATTGTATTTTACATTGTTTTGGGTTTGTGTAGATATATTTTAGTATATGTATAAGCTCTAGTTTGAATATGTGCAAAATAAAGTTTTAGGGATCAATAAAGCCTATTAATAAATTATTCCTGTTATAAAACTTATTTTTCTCAGTCTCTGCTGCCACTCTTTTCTGTAATCTACAATGCACATATTTTTTACATGTTAGTAGTTAATTGATTAATCACAAATGTATTATTGAAACAATTAAATACTAGATTTTCTTTAGTTTTCTTTTTTTAACCATACCAGGACCAGCCAAGAAGAGGTTTAAGGACTCGGACAGAGCTATACAAACTACACAATGACGTGGAATTGTGTTAAGTAAATCTAATCAAACAATTTGTGTTACACTGAGATGTTCAAGTGGCTTTTGTGGTCACATTTATAAAAATAATAATAAAATGACAGATCTAAAACAACTACCGATAATCATAATATCAAACCTTAATTATAGCCCCCCCCCCCCCCCATTACATTGCATTACATTGCATTACATGTCTTTATTTGTAATTTAAAAGAAGACATGACAGAATAAATGACAGAAAACATCTCTTATGAGGCAGTAGTCACCGTCGCACAGTTATTTCACATTCAAAAAGATCAATGTTCGAGCTGCGTTTGCTTGTTAAAACTGTTATAGTTTTGCATGTGACTCAGAAAGCTCAGCTGACACAAATTGCTGATTGGCTGGAGGGCATAATTATCTAGTTTCATTTCTATCTAAACCGCCATCAACAACAAGGCATGGCATCTTCAAGCGCAGAAACGAAACACTTCAGGAGTCCTGATGAGTGAATAGTGATTTTTTAAAATCATTGTGAGTTTCAATATTATGAATGTATGATTTTGGTCTTTAAAGTGTTTTCAGCTCAGTAAAAGCCTATCGGAGATCCAGAAATCCAACCAAATGAGACAGTTTTCAGTGGAAACAACGCCACTTCTGCTCAGGGACATGGCGCTGAAGACTCATTTGAGGGACATCTCAAACACATGGGGCGAGGAGCTGATGTGTCTGGGCCTACTGCTGTTCATTGTAGTACAGAAAAGAATGCAAAAATGTGCCAACAACCATCAAATCAAGCTAATCCAAAATGTGTCGAGGGGGAGAGATGCTGGCACAATCAAACTCTGACTCAAGTATCAAGTGACTGTGGAAGCTTAATTTACCTGAATGCAGTGATCCAAAAAATATGTGGCATTAGTGCCTGTTGTGACAAGTAACAGAAAACCAGTTGGTCACTGCTTTTTATCAGAAACTTATGAAAGGCACTACTGACACATCCACATGCGGATGATCTGTCACATGTGATAAAAGCTGTGTTTTTGGAGCATGTTTTTGGGACATGTTTGGGTTGATAATTTTTCATTGTGGATGCTGATACCCTGCAGGCAGTTAAAATGACAGGTCACTATGCACATCTATGTGAAGCAAGGTTTCAGACAATAGAGCCTGCGTTTCAACAGTCCTGACTTGGGTTTAATAAATCTGCACAAAAAAGACACAGATGAATATGAATGGAAATGCTCCAAGGTAGAGTATTGTGCAGATATGGAAGCAGCTTCAAGTGTACTTCAAGTACTCAAGCAAAACATGAAGTTGAAATAACAGGCTGCAGAGCACATTTATATTTGAGAAAGGACAAATTATAAGATCAACAAAAAGTGAAGACATCTTTCAGATATAGACACATATGGGCATGGATGTAGCAGTGGCAATGGGAAACTAAATTACATATTTTTCAGACCTGGAGGTTACCCAGTGTGCTGGATGGTTTACTGAAAGACACCATGGAGATGTTGCTTGCACTTCAAACAATATTTTCACTCAGCTTCATTATGCAAAACAGGAAACCTGAAGCCACACAGAACACATGCACACACAGACAGGTTTTCATGCTTCATGGGAACAAGCCACAACTTGCCTAACCAAAACCTAACCGTTCAATAGCATTTGCACAGCATTTTGTTAAAACCTTTGATGTCAAACACGGTAGTGTAACGTGTTTAATATCGTGTGTTGTGGAACATGAAAAGCCACTGAACATACATAACAATAGAAAAACAAAAAGGATATGAAAAGTGTCTTTCAACATAAAACACCTCCTCCTCACAGAGCGTCACTTCCTGGTAAAAAGAAACCTAAACACAAACCCAACCCAGAGGGTTTCAGACACAGCTCACAGAACCACATCTCCATCCACACAAGTGAGTTCCTCTTCAATACACTGCACATTACTGCTTTATCACTTAACTGTATTAGAATCTTGAACAAGAGAAGAGTCGCAGGCTAGGGTTAGGGTTAAGATATTAACATGTTATTGTAATGTAGTTTGTAACAACGTTTTGTCAAATTGAGAATTATACATTTTAAATTGATATTTTGTTCAATTGATTTAAGCTTAAATCTACAAAAATAAGTATTAGTTTTTCATGTTGAAAAAATATTAGCTATACACAGAAGGCTATGTAGCATTAGATCAACACCAATTTCTGTTCTATGAGCATCTTGGAACAAATGATTGTTAATGACATGTTTAGATATTGGAACCCTCAGATTGTTTTTGTTAAATATCTATGACTGATTAATCATTAACTACGTAAGAGCCAATGCTCATAAACAACAAGGAAAAGGACAGTTACTTGATAAAGCAGTCTACAGTATGAACTTTGAGATCTAACACCATTTCCCCTCCACAGAAACATGGCTAGTACCAGAGAAGTCGCGATCACATTCTGTTTACTTTTACTTACGCTGAAATGTGACTCAGCGCAGCCAAAGTTGAAATCTCTCCATGACCTGAAGACAATAGATTTTGGACAATCTGTGCCCAAACACAGCCTCGTGCTGCTGCACTGGTTTGCAAACGCCATTGACATCGACAATAATGACATTTTACTTCTGACATTTGATCCGAACAGAGGTAGTTATGGTTCTCATCACTATGGTAACTATGAAGCCATGCTGGACCCGCTGCCTCGAGGATACCGTTACTACACGTGGGAAATCTCCATCAAGCCACCTCCAACGAACTGCCACAGTATGTCCGTGTTCCCCCTGACAGAGCCTATCGGGGCACGAACATGGACCGCATCATTTTTAGAGTCCAGGAAAGAATCTCAGAGCATTATAGGATCGACAGAGTGTTTCTTACGCAGCATTTCCGAACAGAGGAACATCAGGGGACAAGGTACGACCCAGAGCACACCTACCACATCACCATCGGCCTGCTGCAACAGATCAGACGGTTTTCAGTGGAGTACAACCCCACGCCTTTGTGGCAGCTCAGGGACATATTTGACAGTCCCGCTGACGACTCACAGTTGAGGGACATCTCAAACATTTGGGGTGAGTCCTTAGCTTGGCTTGGTCTGCTGCTGTTTATTGTGAATGATAAAAGACCTCCCAAAAAGAGGCCAGTCAATAAGCAGCCAACTACAGTTGGAAGAATTACACAGCCAGAATCCAGGAGAAGCACACAACCAGGATCCAGGAGAAGCACACAACCAGAATCCAGGAGAAGCACACAGCCAGATTATGTGGTTAACATTTCAGATGAAGTGTGTCAGTTAGAGCAGGGTGACCAGGCGCTCCTTAACATAATACCAGGGAAAAATGGAAAAGCCAAGATTGTTTGGAGAAATGTTTCTTGGCTACGGCTTAAGGAGGGTGTTGCTGTAGTGCTTTTTAACAATGAGAGTGACCATGAAGCAAGTAGCACATACAAACTAATCACGGACAGTACAGGAAGTTATCAGACGTCTGTGCTACTCAACGAGGGGCTACAGGTCCGGCTGCACAGAGCAAGGAGACAGTGCTGCTTCTGGACAAAAGTAGAGGAAGAAATATGCAGGGGAGAAGTATACACAAGTCCAGCTCCAGTTTTTATCAGAGGCCAAAATGCTTATCTACAACTCTTTGTCAAGGACGGTAAAGCTTGTGCACGACTATATGTGATGGAGTCGAGCACACAGTGGAGATCCCAGTTTGAAAAGTCCTGGGTTGGGTTTTATGACTCAGAAGACAGACCCACAGATGACTACAAATGGTGGCAGTGGCAGTGGGCAATCAAGTTTAGACAAGGCTCTCACACTAGTGCATACAACACTTATGAGTACTGCTCTGGTATGACAGTAGCTCCAGGTGTACATGCACGATTCATCCTCAGGGATTACATAGAAATTGCACGCACTCCGACTTTGTTGTGAGAAATGCTTTCATTGTTTAATTTTCTTGCCTCCTACGGGTAAATTACAAATCTTGCCAAGTCCTGAGAAATTAAGGTAAAGGGACTATATGCACGATGAACTTCTAGTGATCTAATAAATCATTACAATACAATGCAACATTTGTAGCCAGAATCTTCCTGTCATGTCACCCTAAGCACTGATTACTGATGTAAACCATCTACTGGAGTTTAGCTAGAAACTGTACTCACTCTGCATTATTTTTGTGACAACCATTTTTTGTTTCTTTCATTGAAAACATGTGGTGCCATTTCTGTTTGAGTTTTTTTTCCAAGTATGATTAGTACATGTTGACCCATTATCTGGGTACACATGAAAATATACATATAGTCCCTTTAAAACAATTGAATAATGGACTATTATCACAGGTTAAATCATGCATTTTTCCCTCAATTTACAAAAAACATGTATTGAATTATATTGTATTGAATGTATTTCTGAATGCTCTTTTTTCAAATAAACAGAAAATGAAATAAAACCTTTTTCAGGTTGACTTCAAGCTGAAGTTTGAAATTGTCTTGTTGCATCTGAAAGTAATTAGTGAGAGCATGTCCAATTCTTGTGTCAAGTATAACCTCCACCAGCTTCTCCATCACGGCCCAATTAAAGAGCCTTAAATGTTTCATAGCGTGTGTTCAAGTCGGATCTACAAACAACATAAGAACAGTCAACATTGTATTCGTAAACAGGAATGAAAATTGACACCCTCTATTTAATTATGAAAACTTGCTACAACAAAAGGCCAAACACAGCTGCAACCACAACCACATTTTCAGCTCCATTTTATCCAACACTTTGAGGACTTTATTTAAAAACACCACAAACCTATTAGTGTACAGATAGTTTTTTTCAGGAGATGGACAGTATGCTCAAAAGCTCAAGCTTTTTAATAATCGGCCTCTATGACAAAATAAACACCAAATATCACTGATGCTTCTAAGGAGAAACTATCAATTCAATAATTAATGGATCAAGGAATTATTGTGATATATCCACTAGTTTGTGACAATGCCAATACATCATGCAAATTTGCCCCAGGTAAAGCTGAAGTGAAACCAGGGTTTTTATGTAGTTAGTGCCTTGTTTGGATGTAATGTTATTTGACAGCACTTCAATGAGTTGGTTTATGAAAATATAACTGGTTGCCAAAACAGCTGTTGATTATTAATGATATTAATGATTATTACTGCTTGTTGTATTTCAGAGTGGAATTCATGTAAACAATTATTTGATTCAGATTTTTACAGGAAATCCTTCTCCCTCGATTGACTTCAGCAATCACTCGTCACGTAGCAGAAGATTTCTGTAGCATATGTGAGCAGATGTCAGCAGCAGTGCGGAAGTTGTAATTTGAGCCATAAGTGACTCACTAAATCTTGGCCTCCAGCCTAAATTCATCATCACTCCCATTTTAGGCAAAGTGATACATGTTTTAAGACAAAGGACAATAGGTAGAGTTAGGGCTGGGGAATAAATTGAATTTTGGCAATTAATCGGCTTTTAAAAAAAATCGAATTTGTGAAAAATGTGAAAAATGTGAAAATCGTGAAATCGAATTAAGGATATTGTGAGAGTTCCAGCAGCACATCAATTATACTTGCAATATCAGCACAGTCTGTACAAGACTTTTATAAAACGTATTGGGGAAAACAAATAATAGTTTTGAAACTTGAATATTGAGCAGGAAGATAAGAAATATTTTAAGGGCAAAGTCTGTCTTGAGTGACTTTAATGAAAATCAATTTAAAATCAACATCGTCCAAAGCAGGAAATAAAATCGAGATTTTACTTTTTTGCCATATCGCCCAGCCCTAGGTAGAGTGCGACATGGCATGAAACTGGAGGATTCCTATTCATGTTAAATGTTAGTTGAACTCCAGATGCATCACGTCCCCAAACGCCCACGCTGGGATTCTGCTCAGCAAGGGCCGCACAGCTGTGGTCATCAGACACAAAGACCGACAATTCATCACTTGCACCTCTTAAATGCAGCACCCAACTCTGTTACAAATGACCAAATATTCATAAAATAGAACAGAATCTATCTATTACATATGGACCAAAGACCAAGCACCATCTTAGACTTTGAGCAACAATATATGAAAACAAAATTGTTTTCTCAAAAAAAATGGTGTGTGTATATTCCCTCTTCATGAAAGACTAATACACATTTAATGGATGGATGTTTGCAATTTACTATATGCCTTGTTAAACTGTTAAGTGGTAAGAGCTCTGGGATTTCACCTCCCTGACCAGATCATAAAATAATCAAAACTCAAGCATTTGGAGGTTACTTACTTTCAATGGGTCTGACAGCTGGCTGCTCTGGGACAGGCGAGTGTACTCTGTCCCGTGGGTCGACCAGAGAGGGCAGTGGGGTGGTGGGCGCTGGAGGGTGGTGGTGGTTGTTGATCTCCAATACATCATCATTCTGTTTGAAGACTGGGACCTCCGGCCTTTTGAAAGAACTCTCAACTGGACTAACCACTGGGCTTTGGGACTCCGCTCTCCTCTGGATGAGCTCTGGGATCCTTGAGGAGCCTCCAGAGGACAGGTGCGAGTCCATTCTTCTGGGCGGGGCAGGGGGCTCAAGAGGGCGCGACGTGTTTAGGTCACCCCTTCTGGAGGAAGAGTTGGGGAGGGACGTGTCCACAGGGTTAATCCGACTACTCAGACTAACCTCGGGTCGCTTAAGGCCAAACCGCGCTATTCCAGCACTGGGCGAGTTGTCAATTTGTTTGGAGGACACTTCAATGGACATCTCTGCGCGTCGAGAAGAGGCAGTGTCGTGGTTGCGGCCGCCCGTGAACTCCATGCGCTTCATGCCTGTTTTTGGGGAGCGCAGATTAGTGGACTCAGACGGAGATGATTTGTTGGAGTAGTCAGAGTTGCGAGACGCGGTGTCGTAGCTTCGCTGGCTAGATGTGGAGGAAGAGGAGGATGACCGGACAGGGTTTGAAGCCCGACGGGTCAGGGATGTGCCGTGTGGAGACGAATCACCCTCCTCCACTTCAAATGACCGCTTTAGTGCTGAAACACACAAAAACAAAACATAAACATACAGTTAGGACAGCACACAGTTTAGTGCTTTGTCGTGATTTGTGAAGGAAAAGTTTAGACATTTGCCTGAAATAAATTGAACATCACACTTGACAGCCAGGAAAAACACAACAATCCTTGTAAGATTTTAAGATGGGTCCAATTGCCACTATTTTTGACTAATTGTTTTATATTGATTATATAGGGGTGACAGTAGCTCAGTTGGTAGAGCATTGGTCTTAAGGCCTGAAGGTCGTGGGTTTGTTTCCCACCTCGACATCGACTCCCACTGTTGTCTACTGTCGTTGTGTCCTTGGTCAGGCCAGGCCAGGCCACTTTGCCTGAAGCCCCTGCTGGAAGATCTCAGATCCTGTGGACTCACCACCTGCATGAGGATCAGTGAGGGGCTGGTGCTCTGTGTACTGGGTGGCATCTCTGACTGCCACACCCCCCGACCCAGAAATGGATTAAGGGGAAGAAAATGGATGGATGGATGGATGTTTTATATTGCATAGTACTTATATTACTATTCATTCACTCCATCCATGCACTGTGGTGGTAAACTACTGACGAGGTTTAGACAAAATATTTCAAGTTGTGACAAAAAACACTCAGAGAAAAATATGTGGTGAAAAGATAATAACTGTTCCATTCATTAAAATCAGCAATCTGTACTAACACAATGTAAGAGCATTTATAATATGCATGCAACGAGATCTTACCGGACTTCACACGCTTAAACGTTGACAGCATCTTGTTTTATACACTTGAATTATCGTGTAGACTATTAAAATCTCATTAAATACACAGTAAAAGACAGCGAGGCGTTTTGATGAAAACTCAAACACTAGCTCGTCTTTAGAATGTTGATTTAAGTTTGGCGCACCTGTTGCTACCCCAAACATCGCGAGATTACCGCTCATAGAGGTCACGTGACGAAAAAAATTAATTACAGTCTATGACTCCGAATTGTAAAGTCAAGGTAAGAAAATAATCGTTTATATAAACCCCAGAAAGTGATTACCCAAAATTATACACGTGCACTTTTTATTTGAAAGGGATGAAGCTGCGACGACTGCGACCTGACGGCTAATGTCAAGTCAAAGAACACCAAAATAACTCTGGACTGAACTAAAACAAGATCATAGGCATACGCATACGCTAAATATATGTAACAAGATACAAGGTAAGTAAAATGTTCTAGAAAGTCACCTCTAAAAATACCTGTATCCTAATCACTCGATTATCTGTTCCCTTCCTTCTCGTGGTGTTGACGTATGTGGCATAACCATAGACTGTAAATTGGCATAACACCTACTTTGGAACTAAAACACATTATAAATCAAATGTCAGGAGTTATCCCGTCTCTTAAAAATAATATTTAAAGCACAAGGATTGATTGCTTAATTTGGGTGTCTACCAAATGTTGTTATTTATAATTCCACGACAACTATTTTATTACTGACCTCTTGTGGTTTATATTATGACATCACAAGGGCAGATATTAAAAAAAAGTAATTTAAGAAAGCAAAAAAGAAAAAATATATATAATTTCACTCTGTTTGTTCTGACTCTATATGAAAAAAACTGTTTAATTTTCTCTGTTTTTAGAACAAATGTAATAGTTCATAAGTAGTGAGTTCTGTATTGTAGCTGATTATAGCTGAAGTTACACAATGAGCTTTGAAATTGCAACCAATATTTTGATACAAATGAATGATAGGCACACCATTGACTGAGGTTAACATTATATACTGCTCAAATTATAGCCTATGTAAACCATGAATACAAAAGCATCGTATAACTCAAATTTCATTCAAGCTGTCTGTGTTGTGAACCTCAGATTGACCCTGGAGTTTCCCATCAGCCCACATGTTGTTGGCCTCATCTGGAGGAAAACCTGTCAGAGCAGCTGAGATGGGTATGGATGATAATACTGATAACTTGTCATGTGAACTGTATGGTGTGCATGTTTGAAATCATGCATACAAATGTCAGCTTGCGTCAGGAAACATTTTCCTCTTTCATGCAAACACTTATACAAACTATCTCTTTGTCACAAGACCAGTTGAAAAGATAACCAGAAATAGACCAAATCCTGTAAACACTGGAGCATTGGAAAGTCCGTTTGGTTAGAAATTCCTTATCAATCAGAAAATAGAATATGTGACTAAAATGCTTAGGTCCTGAAAACCCAATGCTAAGTGGCAGTTGGCCTGCGTTATAATAACAGTTTACATAGGCGTGTAAGTTTATGATGAATTTAGCACTATTACTTATGTGACTGTTACTTATGTGTTTACAGCAACAGTGACTTCAACAACTTTCTAAAATAAAACCCAATAAAAGCAGTAACCTTGTATACCCATATTAACCCTTTAGTCGCCAAAGTAGCAGAATGAATACATGAGTTCCTCAATAGGTTTCTTCTATTTATTTCTGTTATTGATTTTAGTAGTCCGTTGAGTTTCAGGGCTCCACCTTTTGTCTGTTTCACATAAAATATCTGAAAAAACTCCAAACCCTAGCGCCTAAAGGTTTAAGAACGGTGCATAACAAGTTCCTAAATTAAATCAGAGATCTTATATAGTAGTACACGATGCAATTACATGTAACTTCCAATGCCTGTAGAAGAATATGCTTTGTATTAGCAGCTACCAATGCTGTGCAGACAAAGCCATGTGCAGATCTGCAAAAAGTTAGCTTTCTGCTTTCTTCAACTGCCTACCCTGAAATTTTCACCCACCACAGAAATCTAGTCCTGTGGAATTTCTTCTCTGGACCAGTCAATGCCCTTAGTCAATGCCAGCTCAAAAGAATAGACAGAGTAAAAGGGAAACACAAGACTTTTTGTAGCGTTTTGCAATACATAGACTTTCTCTAACTTTGAATAGCTGAGGATGTTTACAAGACTATGTGGCACTTCAAACAGTTGACACAGAATGAACCAGGTCATGGGGGCGGAATCTGCGGCCATCGATCTCTTCAAACCCTGCCTTATGGCTCACTCATGATGTCATTAGCGCCTTGACTATTTGATTTGATGCAATTTATCCTCAAGGTTCACTTACAGAATCACATAGCATCTGCATAGACAGGCCTAATTATACTAAGGACTTAATAACTCTCATCCCCATTATCCACCTCCTAAACAGTGAAATGCCGCTACTTGCCTCCTACTTGCCTCCTACTAGCCTCCAATGGACAAGTGTTTAAAATTATCATGGTTTTGCTATAACAATAAAAACAGTGCACTTCCAAAGTACACTGCACCCTTTTTCTTTCAATTTCATTGCAGCTGTTTCATGCCCACAATCTGACTTCTGAATTGATCTATTGTTGTATTATCTGTTCAGTACCAGAGCACCAAAAGACTGTATCAGGCCAAAGACTATTCCAAATGTATCTTTTGGTTTATCTGAGCCTCAGATTGAACACCATGTGCTTGTTGTTGGTAATAAAATGCACGTATGGCACTTAACAGAAGCCCATTATGTCCAATAGAGCAGTGTTGAAAAGCAGGACCACATGGCTTCCGCATGCTTCCTCTGTGTGAATCCAGACTTGTTCTTAAAACCATTTTACTTTCTGCGTAGTTTATGTAAGTAAGCCAGCAGGTTTAGAAAAATAAAATCCTTAAGACAGGAGAAGAGAGTAGGCTAGAGTTTTTCTCATACATACCACAGTCAAAGCAGTGTTGACAGAGGAGCAGCTCTGGACATGTGCAGATGTGCAGCTAATGGCTATGTGTTTGTTAGATAGACAGGCAGAAATGAAGGTGTGTGGGGGGTTCCTGGCATGTCACAACGACCATGCCACGCCCACTCAATCCCTTACATCCACAGGCCTTAGAAAGATAGATGTGAGGATGGATGAGCTGCTGAGAGAGAGGAATAAGGAGGTACGAAAGGTAGCAGAGGTTGGGAAAGCGGGACGTGACGGTGTAATATGTGGAAAGATGACAAGAAGAAAACAAACAAAAAACAAAAGGGGAATTTTGCCAGGTGTTGAGCTGGGTCAGTGACTGTCTTGTGATTGCTCAATACACACATACACACACACACACACACACACACACGCCATTATGTGTCTCTATGATGTAGTTAAATCAGTTCCACACTCCTCTGGATACGCCCTGGTCTGTCCATAATACTTAACTTCAAACTAAAAGTACACGTTCTTTTCCAAAAACCCAATGGCTCACAGCAGATGTCAACGATCCCGCTCCATATTTTGTTAAGTTTTTCAGTAAAACCATGTGGAAGCCCTCCGTAGTGTCCTCATGGCAGGGTGAAAGAGTTGCAGAGCAGAAGGAATAACAAACTAGCTCTAGCAAAAGCGCAAAAAGGAAACGGACTAACCTTCAAAGTCTGATATGATCCCTTCCAAGTGAGCGTTGACAGAGGAATCAGACATTTTGAGAGGAGTTATTGAGAGTGTTTTGAAACGCTGGTGAGAGAGAGGGGGAGCAGCGGGAGTTCCCTTTCCCAAGCAAGGAAAAGTTTGCAGTCCCCGCTTTCAAACAAATCCCAAATTAGGAGTCTGTGCAGTCCAGAGGAGATGGGGAGGGAAGAGAGGGGGATAAGGAGAGAAAAACAAGACGCTCAGTGATCCGAGGCGCTCTTTTCCCCCTATCTCCAAATCTCCAGTCTTCTCCTTAAGCGTATTTTTCTAGCCCTATCCTCCTCCTTCTACACTTTCAGAGCTGGGAATGAGAATGCGTTGACAACCCTCCACCCTCTCCCCTCCTCACTCGCTCACCCACTTTATCTCTTGCTCTCTTCCCTCCCCCCTTTCCTCTTCCACATGCTCTTTTTCATTTTCATTCTACGTTTTTCCCAACTTCTTCTGCAAGGAGTTTCCAGGCGGCCGATCAAACACACTTCGCTGAAGGCTTAAATCACATGACTTTAACAAATATGAAGACTCGGTATGCCTTCAGAAGCTGTAGACCATGTGTTGCTTATTGCCATGCTCTCATTTCTTTCTTTTTTCTTTTTTTTACCAATTTATCCACTTTTATAATATCATAATTCAAAATCTGACATTTTGGATGGCTATGCATGGGTTTGCATGTCTAAAAATTTGGACATGCACTTTTGGGGGAGGATAGCATTTGACCCTTGTTGTCGAGATAACATAAATCTCAGAAAACAGAAACAACTCAAGCTTCTGCTTTCTCCCAGTAGTTTGGCGTTTTTCCTGCGCCGTTGTGTAGCTTTGGGAAACAGATTTTGACATGTACTAATATGGTGATGCCAGTAGAGCGTCAAAGCTAGTGTAGTGGCAAACTGGATACACGTCAATAAATAAGTTGGCTAATGACTTAATGAGCCTGTGAATGAGCCTCTGTGTCCAGGGGCTAGGGGGACGAGGGGGGTGCGTGGGTGTTGGTCACGCCTGTGAGAAAGTAAGAAGGATGTGTGTGATCCTACGCAGGGACCGCGTAGTTAAAGAAGAGAGCCCATAAAAGAACTAGAACTATGCTACTGTCAAGTAAACAAAAACTTGTAGACAACACTTTTGCCAACTCCAATTTGCAATTTACTTTGTCACACAGTCATAAACAAATAAGAACAATATCTTTGACTAATGAAAGTCCACTGCTTCAGCCAATACATGCAGCTTTTGGTGTGAATGTATTATACATGTAAAATTTTTCTTGTTCTGAACCAATTTACACTTTAGTGTCTAATATATATGATTATAATTTTTTGTCTGTATCATTTGCTGTGATTCTAGTTTCAGTATTGATTTAATATCTAATTTTCTATATACGTTTGATTACCTTAATGGATGGTCAAACATTTCTCAACCATATTTATTTGGCTCGTGAACGCATACTAATTATTATTGTTATATAATCTGTTCAACATAATGAACTGAGAGTCTCGTTTAAATTCAAAACATTCTACTTTTAGTGTGGGAGTTGTGCTTGGGAATCAGCTGTTGTGTTTTATATAATACAGATTTATTTTATTTTTCCATAATATATAGTTATTGCTAAGCATTGTCCAGCAGGGGTCAGTGGATCTCTAAGTTCATTCAGGCCTGTTGCTGTAAACAGTTTGTCAGTATGTCACTTGGAAACAGTAATAAGAGCTGTATATAGATCAGATTTAAACATGGGGGGAATCCTGCGCGGGACACGCCCTCGACATCCTGCCCAAGCACAAGTGTGACACATTCCTGCACTCTTTGGCACGGGTACACCACTCTTACATGTGGCGTCAAAGCCGGAGATGGATGCAGAAATAGAAAGATGAAACTAGCATTCGACACTTTGGACAATCATGGTTATTTTTACGGAATTGTCCTGACACGCCTGAACATGTCTTTAGACTGCAAATCCAACAACAATTCTCAATGAGTGCACTGTTTATTCAAAGCCGTTAAGTCTAATTATTAATTGTAGTACTTTTCAGATAGTGACTGTTTTGTAAAACATAACAGGGAACTGCCCTAAGATCTAATCAATGTATCAGCTGTGGTACAATATAAAGGCACACACCTCACAACCTGACATCCATTATCACTATGGTCATAAATGTATTACTTATTGTCTATTTAATAACATTGTGTTTGCCCAGTGACACAAGAGTAATGGCTGCTTGGACAAAGGAATATTTTCATTGATATGTGATCAGCTGCTGTTGTAGCTGATAGAGCAGTGTTAATGTCATCACTCAACATCACACTGTGGTATGAAGGTGAGAATCCAACTTGCAGTTATTGTAGTCCTGATGATTTGGAATTGAGGATCTCACAGATTCACTGATTCACAGGCGTTTAGTTTAATGATGTGGTTTTACAAGATGCAATCAGTTTAAGATGCTTTTGGTGAGATCATTTAGTGTGTTTGAAATATAAACAGCATCTGCGAAAGAGGAAGCCCCAACTTCCTGCTGAGTTCATCCTTACAACAACAAAGGCTTTGTTGCCAGCTCACCCCTGACTCAGGCTGTTCGGACAGAACTGTGTGAGACAAATGCTCAGAGCTGGAGGCAGTGATGACTGGAGATGATTTATGATTTGAATGCAAGTCACTGCTGCATTAGATATAACCACCACCAGTGCATCTGGCCAGACGTATATTTTAGAAAAAAGTGTGGAAAAAGACTGTTGGAAGCGGGTTTTCCTAAACAATACAAAGTATTTATGACAAATACTGTACACAGTGAGAATACTTGTTTTAAATGCAGAATAGTAGATTTGCAGCTTTGTAACAAGAAAGCTATAAACTAGTGCATTATATACCAGTTAGTTTTTTGACAAACCACAGGACAGCAAATAAGACAACTAACCAAACCTTTAAACCTCTTAAACTTTGTAGGAGATGGGAAACAGCAGCAAGCATTCTTTTTGCATTTACAGTCAAACAGCTGTAATTAATGCTAGTTCAAACCACATTTTGAAAGCACAAATAATGATCTTTCCAGCACTGACCTAAATGTAGGTTTTAAACGCGCGTGCAGCAGACAATTAGAAGAGCAGAGATGACACAGGCCCACAAACACGCACCCCCTTGCAGGGCCCCAGCCACACATGGTGCTGTAGATTCAAGTATATGCAGCTGTAGTCACGGCAGCTGGCCTTAACCAAATGTTAAACAGTTTTAATCAAACGCAGCACCTGTTAGAAACCACCGCCAAGCCACACTGAGACGCCCTTGCACAGTAAAAGTATAAACACATTGACTTTCTGCCTGGTTACTACATACACATCAAAATCCACTTCCTATAGTTTACTTTTACCACTATTTAACCAGACACTTTGTAATGTTTAGATGGCCAACAAGCTGCCATTGAATCCTGCACTAGACATTCACAGGTCTGTATAGCCATGGAAACAACAACCTCAAACAAAAAGGCTGTATTTAAAAGCTTTTTGTACAACTTTGTTTGACGCATCAGTAGGAAAATGGTCTGGGCACTGTTCACGCCCTTTCTTGTCTCAAAGGGAGTCCTGTGTTTCTCAAATTGTCTGTCTCCATCTAGTGGGAAAGACAAACTACTGCAAATTTCTAATGTTTTGATCAACTTTTCTTTTGATAATTACAGACTTACTAATATGTCAATGCTAATGGTAATAATGTTCGGAAAAGGTCAAGTTGTTTGCTTTGTGACACAGTCATTCATCAGCAGCAGCATCATCAGCTGACCACACTGTGACCGGAATAAATGGGACACATCATTCTCTTAACTCCCTCTTTACCGACGCTGTGGATAATGGAACAAAGGCTTTCCACAGAGCTATGACTGGAGGACAGAGGCAGCTTAAGAAATGAGCAGCAAAAGAGAGAACAACATCCCAACGTCAAGTTTTATGAGAATGTCTAAAATGTTCTCAAGTGACCCATTTCTGACCCAAGTCTAATTTATTAAAGTTTAGAAGGTTATGTTGTAAACGATTTGATCCTTTTGTTAAGGAAGTTCATACCAAAAGCGAAATTAGTAAACCGAGTGATTGCTAAGATTGAAGCGTACAATACAAGGGTGGAATGAGTTGAAGCTTTATCCCAGCATGTGATTATTGAGTCATTCATGAGGATTTTTTGGTCCTTGAATTTAATGAAATCAATACAAGTGTACATATTTTGACTTAAAAAATATATTATAAAGTATCAGTTATTCAATGTAATACTAATTTAAATGTAATATACAGAGGTCTTTGTAGAGTCAACAGTCCTTCTCGGTAAGGGGACAAATGTCAGACGTGTTGCCATAACATCACAACCAACCACAAATAAATGCATTGTATTACTCACTACCATTACTATTATTCGTGCAAAGCATGTCACGCTAACTTCATTTCTGCCATGAGGAAGCACCTGGATTTTAAGGCCTTGTAAGCTGCTGCAAAATGGGAGGAGTGTATGCTTTTATTGGCCACTCGCAATTTGACGCTGACCTCACCTATCCTTCCAGATCTCCAGATTGTGCATACCGCTACGGTGCTACAATGCATGCTATGTTAGACACCGGTATGCTATTGATTTGAATATTTGTTTTTTGTTTTTTAAGTCTGCCAGTTGTCTGGTTGTTCTATGTTTTGACAATCAGATATAAATCAATACTAAAACTAGTATCAAAAGACAAAGTATCAATACTGAAAAGAACACAAAAACAAAATGGTATGGAGTCTATTTATTAGTATTGAAATGTTAATGTTTAGTGACAGTTGTATCAGTTGTGTGTGTTTGTGTGTTTATGCCTTTTGTGCAACTACAGACATACAACTTGCCTAGCAGTATTTTTGCCCGTTTAGCCCAAAAAGCAGCAAACAAATGTAACAAAATATGTGTGAGTAGAATCCTACAGACCCATAAAACTATATTGGAAACAGTAAAACAGGTCTTGTGGGTTGCTTCACTTTTCCCAAAACCCCAAAAGAAAACATGCAGTCAGCAAACAGGA